TTTTTTAGGTTACTTGGGGTAGATAATCCAGAAGAATTAGCGAATGAGAGAGTAGAATGGAGGAGGCTGTGTGGAGCAGTGATGGGCCTTAATGGCCTACAATAACTGAAGAAGAAGAAGTCTTTTATTGAGATTCAATAGGTATGTTAAACCTAACCTAACTCAGCAGTTCCCCAACTTTTTTGATTATTATGGAACTGATGCCATTGCATAGTACTCATAATAAAACTGATTTTAGATGAATGAATAATTTGTTAAGCAAGAAAAAATATTATCGAATAACCAGGTGATAGTCGGCGGAGGTGCACACTACGGGGACCGCTGCCCTAACCTTGTGGACCGATAACCAACAATTGAATAAAACAAAAATTTGCCCATCTCAGCAACTGTCCAAAATAAAAAAAAATAAAAAAAAAAAAGCAAATCGATTGTAATTTCAGATACATATGTTAGATTAACTTACTACGGTACTGGGAGACAAAATCGTAAGGGTTGTTGTCATTCATTGTAATGTGTGAAATTCTGGATGCCAACCGTTCAAAAAACTGAACGCGTATTTGCGACGTTTAGAACGGTAATAGTAATGCACAATAACGTGCAGTAACGATCGACGCACGTAGAAAAGTACGAATATTTACTGCAAAACGTATTCGTATATAACCTAACCTAACCTAACGTATTTACTGCAAAACGCACAAATGGCACGACATGTGGAAGGAAAAAAATGGTGGAAACAGCACGCTCGACGGGGATGCCGACCAAAAATGATTTCCGATACGATTTTCAACTGTCGTTATACTATCAGCAACAATCGGTTATGACTACACGCTCGTTGTGTTCCATCTGTTATAAACCACGGTCATCGATAATATTATCATAAACTATAGTTGTAACCATGTTTAAATAACTGGTTATAAAGGAATAAGGCCCACGAGAACGTGCAATTATGTATGATAAACGGTGATAAGAATCACAGCTGTTTGAATTTTTTGAACGCTCGCCCTACACAGCCCGCCCTAACAACATTTCCTTTTCATATGATTAAATGCTCCATAGAAAAAATCTTAATAATAAACAAAATACTATTTACAAATCATTGTATATTATTATCAAATCATTGTTAGTATTAATCAGAACTGAAATAATTGCAATCGATATATTTACTATAATATTATTACTAAGCGCGGATACAGGGGGGGGGATCTGTGATGGCTGAAGCCCGCCCTTAGACTATGATTTCGGTACTTAAGATATTTCAAAATATAAGAAAGATTTCGTACAAAATACAAATCGACATGCGCAATGAATAAGGCAATTCATTTTTATAATTTTTTTTAGTCTTGCTGTTTTTCGGGACGGGACGCGAATACATTTATTTTCTGATGTATAGGTACGCGACGACTTTCGTGCGATGAAAAGAAAAGGAAAACGCGGGCCGGTCAGAGGCACGTCCATGAAGGGCAATTACGATCGGTAGAAATGGAAGAACAAAAAGTTAGAAGGGGCGCGCAGTTGACGGCGGCTGGCGCGTTGATTCAGCGATGACGGTGAACAATAAAAATATCGGTATTTGATGTTGTGGGTCGCCCATAAAGTAACCTTACCATAGAGTAAGACTTACTCTATGAAGTCGCCACAATGTGTTATCAATATTATCATTACTTTTAATTACACATTTTTGAATGAATGACAATTTAACAACATTATTTGAATAATTATTTCTAAATTTTAAATTTTACATCTTAAACTTAATAATTAATAGTTAATACTTAATACCATGAGTGTGAAAAAAAGATGCGAGACATTGTTTTCATTTTTCAATAAGAAAACTAAAAACGATCTTAGTGATGATAATATGGTCGATAAAGATATTCTAGATGATCCTGATTCTGTAACACAAGATGTTATTAAGAGTTCAGCAAAAATAAGTGCTTCTTTCTTTTACTCAATTTAATTAGGTATTTAGTTTTTACTATTTAGTTATTTTTTTTTTTTTTTTTATTTACCTAGGTATTTTGTTATTTAAATAATTTATTGAAATATAATTTGTATAAATATATGCTTAGGTTAAGTACTAATATATGCTTAATGCTTATGTAAATATTTATTATTTAATATTTATAGTTGAAAAAAATGAAACTGAGCTTAATGTGAATGCATATGATGTTGGATTATGTGTTGATAAGGAACTTACAGATGAAGAAAAAATTTAATTTTTGTAAAAATGCATGGAGTCTTGTGGCAAGTTATAAGTTTCCAGTTTTAAAACAAGGAAATCAAAACCGAAGCTTTCAATTAGATTGGTTGAGGCGCTATCATTGGTTGACTTATAGTGAACTAAAAGAAGGTGGCTTTTGCAAATTTTGTGTGCTTTTTGCCCCAACAGGTGTTGGTAAAGGATGTCAGGTAATTATATAGGTATAAGTTTCAATACAGTACAGAAAAAATGTAAATACAAATTAACATAATAATCTAATATTAAAATCATTACCTACCTTAATTTATTTTATTTTTATCTCCAGGTTTTAAAGATGTTTGTTAAAGAACCTTTTAATAATTATAAAAAAGCACCTGAACTTTTGAAACATCATGCAATAACTCAATATCATTTATTAGCTTCTGAAAAGAGTTCAGCATTCATACAAAATTATAAAACCTGTAGATCAGTTAAAGTAATGTTTTGTCAATAATGGAAAAAATAGAAAATGACTTGTACCAATAATAAAAACTATTATTTTTTTGTGGACATAATAATCTTCCGTTAAGAGGTCATAAAGATGATGGTATAATGGATATTGATTCAGCCTTAGCAGGAAATCAAGGCATTTTTAGAAGTTTTTTAGCATTCAGAATTGATTCAGGAGATAAAGAGCTAACTAATCACATTAACAGATGTAAAAAAAAAAAAAATACAACTATGATTAGTAAAACTATCTTGTATAAAGTCGTTATTGAGAAAATTATAATTAATGTAATAAAAAACAAGTACTTTTCTATATTATGTGACAAAACCACAGATTTCAGCACAAAAGAACAAATGACTTTTTCAGTCAGGTACAAATTTATATTAATACATATAGATAAATTATTCTAATTCAATTTTATTTTAGATACGTTGATATAGAAGAGATTCAAATCAAAGAGTTTCTTGGATTTATTGAATTAGGTTCGATAACTGGATCTGTTATTAGAGATACTTTAATCAAACAAATTGAGTGCTATAAATTAAGCTTAAAAAATCTTCCTGGCCAAGGATACGATGGTGGCTCAAATATGTCTGGTAGAATAAATGGTGTTCAAGCATTTATTTTAGAAGATCAGTCTTTGGCAGTATATATCCATTGTTTCAATCACCAATTGAATATATGTATTTTAAAAGCGTGTGAAGTACAAGCTATTTGAAATTTGGTTGGTATTATTGGCATTATATCTGTTTTTTATCTATATCTGCCAATAGAACAAATATTATGTTAGACATTATTTCTAAAGATGATTCAATACCAGCACCCTCAACAAAAAAAACTTAGCCTTGTGTGCTACCCGATGTGTTAAATGCCATGATTCTACTATAACTTTCCGAGAACTTTATTCATATATTATTTTAACTTTAGAAGAACTGGAAAAGATGCCTGAACCTGAGACTGCAGGTAAAGCAATTGATTTCAGTGCAAGTATTAAACGAAGTGAATTTTAAATATCTTTAGAAATTGTAGCTAACTTATTTTCTTATACTAAAACTTTAAGCTTAGTATTACAAAGCTATATATTGGAGTTATCTAAAGCTTTTTTTTCATGTTAAGCAATGGCGCAATTAGGATCTTTGGTCCCTGAAGACAGAGTAAATATGGGGCCCTATAATTACTTAAGTATTAGTAGTCAATTTTTTTTTTTTTAATGCTGACACAATTTGTATTTAATATCGGCGAAATAATACTGTATAAATTATTTCTGGTTATATTTTAATAATAATTAATAATAACAAAATTACAAAATTTATTGAAAAAGAAAAATTTAAATAAAATAAACATTATTTAAAATATAATTATTTAATTAAGTATATTAACTTTTTTCTTGCTTTGGTTTCAGCAAATTGATTGATTATTTTGTCCATACCTAAGATATTAGCTTGTTCTTTTTCAATGTTTAACAGATCAATATTTGACAAACAATTTTGACCCATTGAATTTCTTAAATAATTCTTAATTAATTTAAGCTTCGAAAACGTACGTTCCGCTGATGCAACCGTGACTGGTAATGTGAGATATATATACAAGTACTTAATACTTCACTATAAGTGATGCAAAAATCATTTTCAATAATAAACATGGCTAGTTGTTTAATATTTTTAGTTATTTTCAAATTTATTCAATTTTTTATGCATAAAAGTTGTCTGGTGAAATCTGAGCTAGTATCAACGTTATAAAAATGAACAAAATCATACGAAGCTTTAATTATATCATCTTCTGTGCTATTAATCAATGAAAAAGGATTTAAGAAATCAAAATATTCAATTACCTTTTTTTTAAACCCTGAAATCGATTATCTAATTGAAAAATTATTGTATCAATGACTGGAAGAAAAACATTGATTCTTAAATTATCTTCTAAAATATCTAATTGACGGTCGCCATCTACTTCATCAAAATATCTTCTTCCAAACTTTAATCTATGTACATGAAATTCCTGAGAAATCCCCCATTTTGTACACATAAATTTGGCTTTTCCATTAAAGTATGATAATTATTTCTCAATTCTTTAATTATAGATATAGCTTGTTTCAAGTTTTCACATGCATTATGTAAATTTATATCTTTTTTTGAAGAGATTTAGACACTCCGTGTAAGGGTTTTAAAATGTCTTCCCATAAACAAAGAAGGAAAATAAATTCTACAGATTCTAATTTTTTTTTCAAAAATAAACTCATATTTATTTCGTCGATTTTAGAACTTGTTAAGGATATATTTGTTAAAGCTATCAGTACATCAAAAAATCTGACTTTTAATAAATAAATTGATTCATGTCGTGTTTCCCATCTTGTCACACATAACTTTTTTCAGAACTTTAACTTTTATTTTTTTTGGTATCAGCTTCACCAAAAGCTAAAATTGACCATCGTGGAGCACTTGAACTAAAAAAATTAAATATGCTTTGCACAGTTTCAAAAAAAGATGCAACTTGTTTTGAACTTTTTGCAGCATCTGAAATAACCAGGTTTAAATTGTGTGCACAACAATGCACGTATTGTGCTAAAGGAACTTAATCTTTGATTCGTTTTTGAACACCTGAATAAAGCCCGTTCATTACTGATGCACCATCATACCCTTGACCTCTGCATTTACTCATATTAATATTTAATTTCTTAAGAATGGAAATTATAAGATCTTTAGCACCCTGTTTATCAATGGAAAAAAACCCTAGAAATGACTCTTCAATACTTAAATTTCGTTCATCAAAGTTGAGTATTGTATAACTAAATACAACGTACTTTAATAGCATATTGATGCTATTAAAGTACGTTGTATTGATTTTTCATGTAAATCTATCTTAGCTGAGAGAAAATGCCAGTTATTAACTCCATTAACCCAGGATGGATTAAAATATGAATAACCACGATTCGCAAATAGCCAACATGTCTCTCAATACACTACATTTAAACATATTGAATAACACGGCCATTTCCTTGGGACATTTAATCCAGTTTTCAATTTTATAAAACAATAGTGTTTAGAAAAACGATATGATTTGTATTTTCATGTTCAGTATATGGAAATTGAATTGTTGGTCGGCAAGAACCATATGCTAAGATAAGTCTCTTTGGATTACTGTCTTTGATATTCTCATCAAAATAGTATTGATTAGTTGGGTAATCATTTTTTGAATTAAATTCTAACAACAAAAATTATGTAAAATTTTAGTAAAATAAATCAAGTACCAAGATTAATATAAATGTAAATAACAACATAATATATTATAGGTAATTATTTTTTATTTAAAATAAAGTTATGCATTTGAGAAAAAAAAATGAACTTTATAATATATATCAAAAGTATAAAGTATAAAT